TCTTAAATCACGAAAGAGAGGCACATAAAGAGGACATTTCCCCCTCCTATATGCATCTCCCCTATTGTCAAATCCATTTTAGCTTCCCATACCTTCCTCTTAAGAAAAGGGTGGAAAATGAAAGAGAAACAAATTACTACCAATATAATACCACACACATTAGACGAAACGCGGAGTCGCTTCTACTTTGCGTCTGTCTAATTTGTGGCCGTGGTATTACATCGGGCGAGCCGACTCTACAGTGCGAAGATTTTGAAGCGGGCTAGAGCACGCTGTGGCAGACTGTGGTAGACCACTGTTATTAGTTACAGGCAATTTATAAGTTTTTAATAGGTACTTGAATTTAATATTTCGATCTGGAGTTTTTATTTATGAATGTGTATATTATAAAGTATCATTTATAAATTTAAATCTTTAATCATGTTAATTTATTATGCGAGGGTGAATTGGTCAATGCGGTTTAGAGTACCTATGTTGCAAATATTAATGTTGAATATTAAATTATAAATAATTTTTCACTTTAAAATATCTGTACCAGAAATATAGAGTGAATTTTTGCTGTGATATTTCATTTAATTAGTTTACGATAAGAAAGAATGGATTGTGCAATAATAAAGTAGTTTTTATTAATTTACTAGTTTTCGCCCGCGACTCCGTCCGCGTGGATTAAAAAAAAAACAAAGTGACTAGCCTATGTGTTCTTTCAAATTATACTCTACATCTATACCAAATTTCATCGAAATCCGTTCAGCAGTTTAGGCTACAAACTCTAACAAACATCCATCCATTTAAACTTTCGCATTTATAATATTAATATGAGTGTTACATATAGAATGTGGTTTAAATTATTTTTTTTAATTTGGGTGCAATTTGAATTTAAATTAATATTTTTATTTTTTGTTAGTGGCAAATTATAATTTTAAAATAACGTTAAAACCCTGGAGCAAATACATAATTTTAATTTCCTCGTCTAAATAAAAGGATGCATTGAATTACTGTAGTATTTGTGTAGCGTCCAGGGAAACAATTGTTGCGACTTTGTTAACATAATTTCGTGCTCTTTTTAATGACGCTGAATTTGTTACAGCGCTGAAAGGATAGAGCCCCGACGACATAAACAGAAAGCTGTTTATTTATTTAAAACAAGCAATTTAACCGCTTTATAAGTCAAATGGCGTCATTAAGCCGGCAAAAAGAATAAGGCGTACGGAATGTACATTTTTTTTCTTTCCCGAAGGCTCGAAAATAACAATTTTGCAGAATAATTTGCGAAGGCCATTTAAGCTTTTTATCAACGGGAAGTCCGTGTACACAGCTATCTAAACAGGAGGAGCGAGATGAAACATTTCCTCCAGCATTCCCCGTGAATAATTTTATGCTCCGTTAACTTCATTTTATGCGAGGAAAAAAATCCTCTAATAGAAAATTAGTGGGTAAGGGAAAACACAAACACTTTTTCAAAGCGACCGCTCCTAGTCTTAATGAAAAGTCAACAGGGAGCCAAGTTGAGCGGAATTTCAACTGAAAAATAATTCACGCTAATTCTTAATGTCGGAAGATTCATAATACGGATAGCGTTTTATTAGACGATGAAAAATTGAAACAGTCTTTGGAAGCAGCCTTTTGTAATTTCTATACGAGGGATAATTAAAAAAAAAACGATTATGAAAGAAGCCAGTTGCCGAGTGATTACTTAGTCAGCTTTAAAATTTAAACTTATTTGGTTTCCAAATTATAAGATCGTATAAAAATATTTCATAAAATTTGTATACTAATGATTTAACTACAGTCAGTTGCTTGTATATGAATCTATTTTCAAAATACAGAACGTTATATATGCCTTCGAATTAAAAATATTTAGGGCCTGACCCACCAAATTGTAAATTGTCTGATGACAATCCAACGTGTTAAATAAATATAATGGAAATATCGG